ACTGAACAACAACAACAAAGCAGCACAAAAGAGCCAGAGTCCAAGAGCACCTTAAAGACCAACAACATTTGTGGCAGGGGAGGAGCTTTCCTGAGTCACAGCTGAAGGACTGAGCAGTGACTCACAAAAGCTCACACTCTACCACAAATGTTGTTGGTCTTTAAGGTGCTACTAGATTTCCCCCCCATTCTGAACTGTTCTGAAGTTCTTGGCTGGACATTGTTGGAAGCAGGATGCTGGACTAGATGCACCTAATCCAGCAAGGTTCCTTCAGTGTTTTAAAATGGAAATATTTGTTTTATTCTTGGAGTGGAGTGTACTTATTACACTTGTGCTGGGATACTTTTTGATAATTAAAACCATTTTTAGCTGCCAAATGTGAACTCTCTCGTGCTGAGTGTCTTGGTAATGCTGATGTGTTCTGCCTGACTGAAAGAGCAGGTCATGCCTGGCAACACAATAATACTAATCTGTTAACCATATATTACATTTGGGAGAGGTCCACCAAGAGATTATATGAATATTATCTCAACAGCTAAGAATGTAAAATCCTCTTTTTCGGTCATTAGCCACTCTTTAGTAAGGAGTAAATGTTTAACAGAGCTTGGATGAATGAATCACTGGATGTGTGAGACTTCTGTGGAAATTTTCTCTGATTAATAGTTCTGAGGAGAAATGGCACCTCCAGGGAATGAGCCTCAGGAACTCCATCCAGCACGATTCTCTTTATTTATTTATTTAAAAATTATTATTTAAGAGTACAAACGGTGTAAGTAGAACATTGGCAGTTTTGGTTGGTTAAAATAATAGCAAACGTTTACAGTAGTAACCCCCAGCACTAGAAGTCCACATCAGGGGCCAGTCACTCCAGATTTTCGAGCACGGTGCAAGTTGCTCCAATCAGGAGGGAGCACAAGAGATGAGATAGGCGAGGACATACAATTTGCTATAGCCACGTATAGCCATGTACTGAAACAAGTCCAACAAGGTTCTGTTTCTGAAGACAAGAGTCTTAAGTATCCAGGCCGCGTGATCCAGAGTAATCCATAGAAGGAAGCAAAAACACATGACCCTGTGCCCAGACTGAGTGCTCCAGAGCTGCACACTCATAATAAGCTGTGGTAAAACACATTTCAGGACTAGATTCTGTCCCTCGTTCATAGAGCAAAGAGCCAGGTCCAGAACCAAGAGATTCTTTTTCTTTCTAGGCTTGGAAAAATTAAAAAGAGGGAAGAGGGTGTCCAAGTCTAATTGAAGGGGAGGAGTGTGGCCATTCAACATCACGAGGAAATTTCAAAATAATGCAGGAGGCAGTCTTGGCCTAATGTATAACTTTGGCAGGCAATTCTAACTAGGCCAAAGTGAGAATCTTTGGGGAATAAAGGGGGGGGGAGAGGAAGTCTTCAGAAAATGTTAGGAATTAATAAAAATTGATCTCATCTGAAAAGTTTGTTATGGTTTTGGCCTGGGTGGGACACAAACTTATTTTCACAGGAAAACAGTTTCCAGTTCCCAGGAACAGCAGTACTACTGTGCCTGACTTGCAATCAACAGCACTCCACAGTAACTCACTCAGCCTCCAACAACCCCCAAAGCACAAACAGCCCCAAACAGACTTAAACAGAACAACTCTCTATCAGGCTACAAAGAACCCAATTCTCCTCCTGTATTTACTCGAGGGATGATGATTGGAAGGACAAGTGGACTTCGATCTGAAGAGTGCGTCATCTAATTTGTCAGCACTGCGAGCACTTTATTGTTAACTGTTATGTTATCATGTGATATGAGTTGTTGTATTTTATGTAGTTTTAAATTTTATTGCTATGCCAATTAGGTACATTGTATCGCTCTTGTTAGCCACCCTGAGCCTGTTCGCAGGATGGGCGGTGTATAAATATAATAAATAAACAAATAAATTCCTGACCCCAGAGTGGCAATCAGCATTTCCCTGGGTGTGTAAGAAAGGGCCACAAGAACTAAGCACTGAGGCAACCCTTCCTGCCCTCCCTCTCATGATCTGCCTAAGTTCATACAATCAGCATTGCTGTCAGATGGCCATCTAACCTCTGTTTGAAAACCTCCTCCAAAGAAGGAGACCCCACCACCTCCCAAGGAAGCCTGTTCCACTGCCACTGAGGAACCGCTCTGTCAGGAAGTTCTTCCTAATGTTTAGCTGAAAATCCATTGGTTGTGGTCCGACCTTCTGGGGCAACAGAAAACAACTCTGTACCATCCTCTATATGACAGCCCTTCAAGTACTTGAAAATAGTTATCGTATCACCACTCAGTTGTCTCCTCTCCAAGCTAAACATTCCCAGCTCCTTCAACCTTTCATCATAGGACTTGGTCTCCAGGCTCCTCAATGTCTTCGTTGCCCTCCTCTGGACACAGTCCAGCTTGTCTATATCATTCTTAAACTGTGGTGCCCAAAACTGAACACAATATTCTAGGTGAGGTCCAACCAGAGCAGAGTAAAGCGATACCATCACTTCACATGATCTGGACATTATATGTCTGTTGATAGAACCCAAAATCGCATTTGCCTTTTTAGCAACTGCATCACACTGCTGACTCATGTTCAGTGTATGGTCTACGAAGACCCCTAGATCCTTTTCGTACATACTACTGCCAAGACAAGTCTCCCCCAACCTGTAATTATGCACTTGATTTTTCCTACCTAAATGCAGAACTTTACATTTATCTCCATTGAAATTCGTTTTATTTGTTTTAGCCCAGTTTTCCAGCCTGTCAAGATCATCCTGTATCCTGACTTTGTCTTCTACCGTATTTGCTACCCCTCCCAGTTTAGTATCATCTGCAAATTTAATAAGCATCCCCTCTATCCCTTCATCCAAATCATTGATAAAGATGTTGAGCAAAAGAGGTCCCAGGACAGATTGTTGAGGCACTCCACTTATTACTCCTCTCCAAGAGGATGAGGAACCATTCACAAGCACTCTTTGGGTGTGATCTGTCAACAAGTTACAGATCCACCTAACAGTCATAGGATACAAACCACATTCTCCCAATTTGTCAACAAGTATGTGGAACCTTATCAAAAGCCTTACTGAAATCAAGATAAACTATGTCTACAGCAATTGACAAAGGATGTACTTTATCTCCATAGCTGTTCAATCTATATGCAGAAGATATCATAAGGAAAGCAACGTAGATTTAGAGGAAAGCTGAGTAAAAATTGGTGGAAGGAATACTAATAATTTGAGATATGCAGATGACATGTTAATGGCAGAAAATAGTGAAGATTTTGAAATGACTACTGATGAAGGTTAAAGCAGAAAGTGCTAAAGCAGGATTACAGCTAAACATCAAGACTACTGGGAATTAAAGAACTTTAATGTTGATGGTGAAGAAATTGTTCAAGATCCTCTGAATTCCTTGGCTCAACTATCAACCAAAAGAGAGACTGTGATTAAAAAATCAGAAGGAGGTTGAGACTGGGAAGGGCAGCCATGAAAGACCTAGAAAAGATTCTGAAGTGTCAGGATGTGTCACCGGAGACCAAGACTAAAACATTTCATACTATGGTAGTCCCCATTACTATGTATGGTTGTGAAAGTTGGACAATGAAGAAAGCTGACAGGCAGGGGTCATTTTGTAGAAAAAGAGGTGCAGGAGCTCATTAGCATAACTCATTAGCATAACTTATTTGCTTATGCCACACCCCCTGACATCACCGGAAGTGTGTCAGAAGGCAACACCCACTGCAACTTACCTGGCTGCTTCTTGCTCCTAATGCCCCGGGGCTGCTGGGAGCAGGGGGCAGGGCTTGTTGCATGTGCCCGCCCCCTGGGCTCTTTACTGCCGGAGCTCCGCTCCTGTGCGCTCCTGCAGGAAATGACCCCTGCTGACAGGAAAAAGTTGATTCATTTGAAATGTGGTGTTGGAGGAGAGTTCTACAGATACCATGGACTGCCAAGAAAGACAAAGGGTGGGTTCTGGATCAAATCAAGCCTCAACTCTCCCTAAAAGCTAAAATGACCAAACTGAGACTATTGTACTTTGGTCACATCATGAGAAGACACTGGAAAAGACAACACTGCTAGGAAAAGTTGAAGGTGGCAGGAATAAGAGACTCTGTAAAGGAAACCACAGGGGCCCTCAGTTTGCAAGACCTGAGCAAGACTGTTTACAGCAAGACTTGTGGAGGTCATGACTCCATAGTGTTGCCATGACGTCACTCGGCGCACACTTGGAGGGACTGGACGTTGTGTTGGAGGCTTCTAGTGTCTTAGCTGAATTATAATGACCATCCGAACTAGAGAGTATTTGAGAGATTTTCACCACAAAGAATTTGCAAAAGTGTCACACCCAATTGTCAGTTCTTGGGAGTCTACCAGCTCAGATTTTGGAGTCAGCAAGTGGCAAGCTACTTTAAATGGCTGAGTTGAAAAAAAATACTCTTCATAGTGTGGAGATATACAATATTTTCAAAAAATTTCTGTTTAAATAATTAGCAACAATTCTTATGCTATAGTATCTTTAATAGTACATTATTAAAAGAGTTCAGTCTTTTCAGTGTCATAAAGTTCAGCATAATATCCAAAATACACTGGCAGACCTACCTATTGTGACTGTCCAAATAACAGGCTTTCTTTTGTTTACTGCAGAATTTGTTTTCTACCTTCACTTTTTCCTACCTATCAGATGGCAAAAATTAAAGACACAGCAGCAAAGAGTGCAGCAGTTGGCAACTATTTCTCAGGTACTGCAACTTTTCTTATAAAAAACAAAGACCTTCATAGTTTTAAATTCTAATAGGCCAAATAGTACAATTTTATATGCTAACTAGATTATAAATTATACATTTTATGTTGTTAAATCAGTAGAAGTTTACGTTTGATAGAAAGTAAATACTGCATATATTTCTGTTTTCCCAAAATTTCATTTCATTTCATCTTTCTTTCTTTCTTTCTTTCTTTCTTTCTTTCTTTCTTTCTTTCTTTCTTTCTTTCTTTCTTTCTTTCTTTCTTTCTGTGGCTTCAACACGTTGGGAAATTTTACATCTCTAATATGTACCAATATTAGGAAGAAAAAATTAAAACCCATGATTAAAAACAAGATATCTGTGTAGAGTTTATTCTTTGTACAGTAGAAACTTGCTGTACACGTCATATGTATACAATTTGTACAATAATGCTTTTCAATACAATGAAAGAAAATTGAGCCCCTGAAAATCTGTGCACTTTCTCAAAGTTTCAGCTTTGTTTTGCACATTGCTTTGTGATTATATCAGGCAATAATTCTATAAGAATCATTTACTACATTCCACTTTTGTATAACCTCCATGTAACAAGAGCCTGCAGTCAGGGCCAGATGAACCAAACAGCATTATGGAGCAAGAGCTCAGACTGTGTAAAAAAGGAAGACCACAAGACCTCTTTCATTCCTGGTTTCAGAAACACCTTTGAAATACTTAGTTTTCATCTAGTGAAGTCCCATAAACCAAAAGACTTCGGGTGGCTATGGGGTGGCCGGCCCAAGCGCTTGCCACCGACCTGGCAAGATTCCTGGAACCACCCCAGTGTGATCCGTAATGGCCACGCCACCTCCCCCCCCCTTTCTTTTTAGCTGCACCTGAAGCGGCTCCCTGGAATGTCGGCAGAGAGAGCTTAAGAAGACAAGAGAACAAAACATTCAGCTGGGGGTTTAAGTGTGTACGTCCAGAGTGCCAACTCAACTGTGGAAGAGGGTTGTGGTGGTATTTTTTTTTTTGGGGGGGGGGCTTCTATTGAACTATTTCTTAAGAAGGATGACAGTGAGGAATTCAAAATGTTTTTCTCTAACCACACCTTTTAACCTCATTCACTCTCCCTTTACCACAAACACTACAGCACTTACACAGACAAATACTGTATTTTATACAGACACACACCATGCTCCAGTGACACACACAGCCACACATCCTGAATCTGAGTTATACACCCACTCAGATCTCTAGAAAAGGAAACCCACACCACACACCCCGTTTACATTTGCCTGCAGAGCTGAACAGAGTTAGAAGGACGGGGGGGAGGGGGGCTTTCATCTGCTGAAGAGATGCTGCTGCCTCTTGGCCATCTTTGTTCTTTGAGTTTTCTGATCCTGCCCAACAGCTGGTTTTGATTAGTGGGAGTTGTAGGGCTGAATGGGGATTTCATACAGTTGGTGTCTTGGGATGGAAAGTTTTATATGAAGACCATTTCTTTCACACACACACACACACACACACACCCAAAAAAGCACTGCAAACTTCTGAAGTCTGAGGTTTGTTTACTCCCCTGAACCAAGTGCCCTCTCCCAGAGGAAGTCCTTCGTGTGTTCATCCCCACAGACACTGTAACTTTGACCCCAGTTTATAGATCATACAAAAGGAAGGCTCTTGAGGTGTGGCCATCTTAATGAGCCCTTCCCTTCCTGTTCATGTTTGTAATTTCTCAGATCAATTCATAGGTAACATTTACTAATTGGGGAAATAAACCATTTCACACGTAAGGATGTTTCCAGAAGTGTAGTTTTGGGCCAAACTGACTAAGGCTACCATCCACAAACCACAAAAAGCCAGCAGTCTGGGTGAAATCCGCACAAAAGTTGAAGCAGCAAGGACTCACGGACATACCCCAAAGAGCATTTTGCAGTAACAGTTTGCTGCTTAGTGTCTGATCTTAATTCAGGAACAATAATTCCATAAGTTCTAAAGCACAGGGGTGGGATTTTGGCCTTTCAAATGTCCCTTGTGAGCCACTTCCAAATGCAAAACTACAAGCTTTTTGTCTTGTTCCAAATATATCTGCTACGACACCAGTTAAAGAGTTGCGCTGCTGGAAGACTGTTCACTGTTGACTGTCTGGCACAACGATGGCTCAGGAAATTAGATCACCCCACCTTGTCATCAGCCAACACACAAGGTACATAGGAGGTATTTGATGTTCCAGAATAAATGAATCTAGTTGTATCGCAACGATCTTCCTCAGCTTGGTCTACATCACTACTTCAGGCTCTATGTTAAACAGCAAGTCATCGTTTCCTCTTCTGACTTCGAGCAGCAGCGGCGCTTCATTCATCACCGCCTCTTGCAAATCAGCAGAAGTCATCAGCGGACGTCCATTCACCTTAACGATGATGTCGCCATCCTTAATCCCACCTCTGCATTGGAGAAAGAGAGAGACAGAGATTCTAAGCTGAAGTTTTTCTTGCCGGGTATGTCTTGGGACTCCATTTGTGTGGTGGCGTTTGCATAAGGCATTTAAATGTCTTTTACAAGCAGCCCTGTGTGAGTGAATTCCCAAGCAGCCAGTTCACCCAAAAGGCATGAACTCGATGCTTGGAATTCACTCGCACAGCACAGCTTGCAAAAGGCATTTAAAGGGAACATGTTCCCTTTAAATGCCTTTTGCAAATAGTGCCACGTATCAGTCGGGGCAGTGCGGAGCAGAGAGCTTTGCAGTGCCTTGGCAGGGGCTGGCTCTCAGTATAGCTGAACAAATCAGCGTTTTCAGGATCAGCAATACTGGCAGCTGAGTTCAGATCTCTGATCTGTATTCAACTTAAGGAATACCCGAAAAATACCGATAAGGCATTTTCCGGGTATTTGGGGGGTTCGTTTTTGCCAAACGCATACCCCTACTCTGGTCAGCCCTTGTCTAAGAGTTATTTGCTGAACGAAGTGGATGAGCCTCAGCCAGAATGTGTGTGAGACAAAGGAGGCAAAGATTGGCCAGGAGAACAGGCAAGATCAGACCACTGTGCACGAGGGGATTTTAACCATGCAATACAACAACCAGCTCTCCATCCAATCAAGGTGCTCGAGGATGGTGGTTCTCCACTAAGAGTTGTTCTCTGATGATCTCCACGTCCACCTGAAAGCATGGTGAGCTGCCTCCTCCTGACCCCGCCGACCATCTCTGGCCATATGGCAGGTTAGCAGCAATGTTCCCTCTAAGCTGTGGAGTCTTGTGAGCAAAAATTCTACTTTGTGAGCTACTAGCATTACATTTGTGAGTGAACTATTTGGCTACTGCATAAATTAGTTTACTCTGGAGCCCTCCTTCCTGAGCTAAGACAAAAATGTGTGAGCTGGAGGCTAAAGAACTGTGAGCTAGCTCACACTAACTCAGCTTAGAGGGAACACTGGTTAGCAGTAACAGCAGCAGGAAAAGCTTCACGCTCCGTACCTGGCACTGGCTCTGTGCTGAGTGAAAACCAAGTATCCTGCCCAAAGCGATCTTCAACTGTCATACAACCATTTCCATTCAAGAGTGGACCCAAAGTGATTCCAAACTTGAATGGTTGTAGGATAGGTAAAGCTGTGATTTATTTTTTTGTGTTGGTGCTTTAATTCACTACTGTAATTGCCCAACATTGGAAACCACCTCTGTCACAACTTTGCAGAGGCGGGATATAAATATTTTTTAAAATAAATAATAGTGTTTGAGGGCAAACTCTCCCTCAGGCACCCTCCTGCCCCACCAGAACCTGCTCACAAAGGATCATTTAGGAGCAGACACCACGTGGGGGGGGGAGTCTCTTATTCCAGTTCAATGGCATTCCTACACTTGTGCACTAGAAGCAAAACATCCAATGTTTTGTGCTCGCGTTTCTAAAGAAGCCTTGTTTTCACCCCTTGTTCCCATCCTCCCCCCAGGGCTGCCAAGCCGCGGCGGGGGATCCGCATGTCTTTATAGGATCCCTGCCGCGGGGACAGCGATACGCGTTGCACCGCCGTTGCCAGGATGTGACGCGTAGCCAGGGTCAGCCCTGCTTAGCTTCCGAGATCTGATGAGATCGGGCTGCTTAGCCCATCTTATTTTACAGCGCTCTAGCCAAAGAGTGTGCCTGCTGGGCTCAGAGGACACTTCCAGTCTTCTGCCCTACCTGGACAGAGTTCCTCCTGTGGGGCAGTTGCTGGCTCTTGGTCTGGGGTCAGGAGGGCAAGCTGTGGGCGGGGGCGAGTGTTGCCCAAGAGGGCTTTTTACAGCGGGCAGCTGAAGGGTCCTGACTAGGGGTGTGCATTTGGCAAAACCAAACCAAAAACCCCTCAAAAAATACCTTATCGGTATTTAAATGCCTTTTGCAAGTGATGCTGCGCAAATGGAGTCCCGCCGCGGCTTGGCAGCCCTACCCCCCCCCACGCAACAGTTCTCTGTGCAACCTCTACCGGTCGTCTCTGGACCAGTCCGGGCCTTGTCTCCCCTCACCCTTTTGCTCCTTCAAAGGCTGCCGACCTCAGTCTGGAGCAGCCCAGTCCAGCTCAGCAACACACCTGTGAGATGGCGAATTTGGAACAACTTCGTGTACATAAATTCCACCACCGACATCCGGAAAATCTGGATTATTAAACTTCAGTTCTTCCACAAGTCTAAAAAGACGCACAGAAATATTATGATGTCTCAATATTCGTAATGTCACTATTGCTGTTGCTCTTTGAAGACATTTGTTTTTTCTTCTAGATAACAAAACAACACAGCTGAACCCATCGAAGACGGAGGTGCTGTACCGGGGTCGAGGGGACATGGATACTGGTGCCAGCCCAGACAGTGAGGAGACCGGGAGTAACACTGGATGCCTCTCTGTCTGTGGAGGCCCAGGTTGCCGCAGTGGCCAGGTCTGCATTCTTCCATCTGAGGCAGGTCAGGCTACCGAAGCCCTGTCTCTCCCCCCAAGACCTGGCTACAGTGGTCCATGCAATGGTCACCTCCTGGCTTGATTACTGCAATTCGCTCTACGCAAGCTTGCCCCTGAGACTGATCTGGAAATTACAGTTGGTACGAAATGCAGCGGCACGCCTGCTGACGTCGACACCTGTGCGGGCTCACGTTCGGCATGTGCTTTGCCAGCTGCACTGGTTACCCTTTGAGTACCGGATCCGCTTTAAGGTGTTGGTAATCGCCTTCAAAGCCTTATACGGCCTGGGACCAACATATCTAAGGGACCGCCTCTTCCCGTATACGCCTCAAAGAGCTTGACGCTCTAGTGATCAACATCTCCTTTTGGTCCCTGACCCAAAGGACGTCCGTCTAGCCTCGACCAGGGCCAGGGCCAGGGCCAGGGCCTTCTCTCCCCTGCCCCTAGCTCCTGGTGGAACACGCTCCCCACCGAGATCAGGGTCCTGCGGGATCCTACTCAGTTCCGCAGGGCCTGCAAGACGGAGCTCTTCCGCCAGGGTTTTGGTTGAGGCCGCGGGCGTCTGTGTATGGCCTCCCCGAGGCTGCCGTCTCCTACCTACTGGCCACCCATCTGCCAGCAACTGGCCATATCCATCAGTACGAATGAGTCGGACTTTTCACCAGCAGCTACAACTACTGATTCTAAATGTTTATAATGTAATGTTTTATTGTGTTTTAAACCTTATTGTATTGTTTGAGATGATGTGACCCGCCCTGAGCCCGCTCACAGCATGGGCGGGATACAAATATGAAAAATAAATAAATAATAAATAAACAAAATTTAAAGATTTCTATCTCAAGATTCTTTTTTTAAAAAAGGAAAAGCATTGAAGAAGAAGAGATTGGCTTTCTACCCCGCCCTTCACTACCCAAAGGAGCCACAGAGTGGCTTACCATCTCCTTTCCCTCCCCCTCCCCCTCCCCACAACAGACACCCTGCGAGGCAGGTGGGGCTGAGAGAGCTCTTTCGAGAACTGTTAGTGAGAGAACAGCTCTGAGAGAACTTGTGACTGACCCAAGGTCACACCAGCAGCTGCATGTGGAGGAGTGGGGAATCAAAGCCGGTCCTCCCAAATTCGAGTCCGTGCTCCTAAGCACTACACCAGACTGGCTCTCAATATTGTGGGAGATTCACTTCTCAGGGAATATTAAACAAATGCAAGCCTTTTAGGGGTGTTGACATATTCACAGTGATGAAAGGGAAGATGGGTGGGCTTAAACAAAACATTAATATTGCAGCGAAGTGGGAGGGGGACACCCCAGGAATGGGAGGCTTCGGCAATCCTGCGGGGGCAAAGCAGGGCAGCAGGGCTTCCCTGGGGAGGACGCGGGTGAGCGGGAAAAGGGGAGTGGGGGGGGCAGTGGGCAGGGTTTTTTTTTGTGAGGGCAGAGGGTGGAGGAATGGCTGGGAGGATTAAGGTTCCTCAGTGTGACGTGTGTGTGGGGGGGCGGGGAGGCATGAGAGAAGACCCAGCCCCTCCCTCTCTTTCTCTCTCCAGCTGTTCACTGCAAACGTGGTGGGAAATAAAAGATCAGCTGCCCATGACTGAAATCGGGAGGAGGCCACCGACTTTCTGTCTGCCATGGCACCTTGGACAGTGAGGTGTACAGACTGCTCCAGATGATTCTGGATGTGTCCTCTGCAGAGCGCTGTGTGGACAGGGCTTGGGGGCAGAGAGTCCGTGACAAAGAAGGAGGCCACGTGGAGGAGAGACCTCTGCCTCCTTTGTCCTGCAGCTGTTCTGTCCCACGGTCTCGGCAGAACGGGGCTTGTCATCGTGAAACCCTGTCCTGTTCCGATAAGGACTCTCTGCAATTTCCCTGAGAACAAAGTCTAGCATATTCTACCATCCTGAAGAAGAAAGCCAAGGATTGCTGGTGGAAAAACAAGGAGGAAAGCTGAAAATTAAGATACCACATGGCAGGGAGGGGTCCAGACCTTACAAACCTCTCAGCAAGCCCACCCCAGGCACAAGCTCTGTTCCGGGCCAAGGCCGGGAGTCTGGATCAGTGGATCACGATCATGATCGGGGGGTGGGGGGCCACTTGGACTAGGCCAGCCAGGCCTTCACAGAGTTCCCTGGACTTTTAGCAGCTGCTGGACCTTGAGGGTATTGCAAACAGTGAGGCAAGCCTATGACCTTGGCATGGGAACTGGATGTTTTGGGGGCTCACAGATGTCTGGATTACAAAGGACTCGGCTGGCATCTGTACAGTAGCTCCTCCCCAAGGGTTTTCTCAGTTTAAGATGTCTGTTTTTCTCTGCAACCCAAAGTTGTTCTCCAGGTGGCCAGCTGGAGATCTCCCAGGGCTCAGGCAAGCAACATCTTGGCTGCTAGAGAATCTGAATAAATTCTTCCTCCCATCAGGATGCCTGCAGTCAGCCAACGGCACCTTCCTCCATAGGCAATTCGAGTGACTACGATCTCGTTCCCCCTTGGAAGTCCTTCCCTCCCTCCAGGGATCCATACAATCCCGAGCCACAATATCTTCCAAGTGCTTCTCAGTCAGAGACACCTGTGAAACCACAGGAACCTGAAGGGGGAAACTAATCGGGGGCAAAAGGACGATGTGAACACAGAGTCACCTGCATCCAGGCCCCCCCTCCCCCGTGCCCCACGCTGGCAATGCAGGGCTGGGTGGCTGGCACTGCTGAGCATCGTGGCTCAGGCCTGCATGTGGAAGAGCCACGTCCTGCGGCCAGAGGCAGCAGCCTGGCGGAGGGATGCAGCTCAGGGTCTTCTGCATTCTCGTACACTCAGAGAGACTTACGCCGGTGTTATCGTCAGCATCCTTAAGCCAATAAACCTTTTCTTCCCATCTGGAATAAAAATTGAAATCCTAGTGAAGAAATTTTCAACTGAAGAACAAAGTTAGTGTGAAACAGAACCAGATAAAACCATGCAAAGCAGATCGCATGCTCGAGTACTTGTCTACCACGGGCCATCTCTGAGAGCAGGGGGTCAGGACTAGGGTTGTGCAAAAAAAAACTGGGTATTTTTCGGGACAATCAAGGCTCTTTCTGTAGCAGGAACTCCTTTGCATATTAGGCGAGACACCCCTAATGTAGCCAATCCTCCAAGAGCTTACAGAGCTCTTCTTACAGGAGCTACTGTAAGCTCTTGGAGGATTGGCTACATTAGGGTGTGTGTTGCTTAATATGCAAATGAGTACCTGCTACAAAAAGAGCCTCAACCGAAAAAATATAGGTATTTCCCAGTATTCCCAAATCCCAATACCAGAAACTCGCTGCTTGGAGAAGGTGTTTAAACACCTTCCAGGGGAACTCACTGCTTGGGACTCCATTTGCGCAGTGATGCGTGCAAATGCCTTTTTGCAAGCAAAGCTGCGCAAATGGAGTCATCTGCCTTCTGGGTGAACTTGCCACTTGGGACTCCATTTGCGCAGCATCACTTGCAAAAGGCATTTAAATACCGATAAGGTATTTTTTGAGGGTTTTTTGGTTTGGTTTTGCCAAATGCACACCCCTAGTCAGGACCCTTCAGCTGCCCGCTGTAAAAAGCCCTCTTGGGCAACACTCGCCCCCGCCCACAGCTTGCCCTCCTGACCCCAGACCAAGAGCCAGCAACTGCCCCACAGGAGGAACTCTGTCCAGGTAGGGCAGAAGACTGGAAGTGTCCTCTGAGCCCAGCAGGCACACTCTTTGGCTAGAGCGCTGTAAAATAAGATGGGCTAAGCAGCCCGATCTCATCAGATCTCGGAAGCTAAGCAGGGCTGACCCTGGCGAGTACTTGGATGGGAAACCGCCACAGAATACCAGGGCTGGGAGGCCAGAGGCATGCTATCAAGCCACTTCTCTGAACATCCTCCATGTCCCAGTAGGAGCTGCCAGAGGTCGCCATGACTTCCAGGCACAGGCTCACACATGCGCACAAACACACACAAATGCAAAAATCCCCCGTCAAAAAAAGAAGAAGGGCTGAGCGAAAAGCCCGGGATGAAGCTTGGACATTTGCAGCCACAAGAATGCCTCCAGCAGCTAAAGCTGATTCTGAACACACCAGGAGCTTTGAAGAAAGGCCGTGCTCCAGTGTGGGGAGGCTGCTTATGAAAAGGGCCAAACATCTGCTTTCTGGAGGTTTCATATATTTAGACAACGTAACTAATGAAATCTTCTGTACATCTATGTAGCCTCTTCAAGAGGAAGTTTGAATTCTTACAGCTGAATTCTTTATCCAGTTGAATTCTTTATCCAGCTGAGCTGTGAGAAGCAGCAGGAGACAGAGGTGCTAGAGGGGTGACTGTTTGGAAACAGCCTTGCAAACCTAATAAGGAGAGCTTTAAACTAAATCCTCTGGGGGAGCAAGACAAAAATGCAAAGCCCAGTATAATGCTAATAACTGGAGATAAGAACTCTAAAGTTTTGCAGGGAGTGGCAGAAACGAAAACCTCAGAGTGCATAAAACATGGATACCCAGGGCTATTTTTTGGCAGGAACACACAGGAACGGAGTTCTGGCTGGCTTCAGAGTTGGCCACACCCACTACAGCCAAAACCTCTGCGTGTAGCTACAGAGGGAAGGCCTGGAGAGTGACCCCCCCCCACGACTCCAAGGCGGGCGGGCCAGGGGGGCCTGGAAGGATCGGGGAGGCATTTAAAGGCAAGCCAAGGGAAGGCATGGGGTGTGGCCTAATATGTTAATAGGATGCACTGTCAGGAGTGTGGCCTAATATGCTAATGAATTTCTGCTGTTGGGTGTGGCCTATTATGCTAATGAGTTCCTGCTGGGCTTTTTCTACCAAAAAAGCCTTGTGGATACCAATGTCTCTACACTAATGCACAGAGTATGGGAAACAAGCAGGAGGAACTTGAAGTCCTAATACCGGAAGGGGGTTATGACTTAATAGGCATTACTGAAACTTGGTGGGATGACACTCACAATTGGAATATTAGGACTGAGGGGTACAACTCATTTAAAAAGGACAGACAAATAAGGAAGGGCGGAGGAGTCACATTATATGTACAGGAGGTATATACTTGTAAGGAAATATGTGTATCTGAGCATGGAAGTCCAAGTGAAAATCTCTGGGTAGAAATAAAGGGAGTAAGAAATAATAGTGATATTATAGTGGAGGTCTGCTATAGACCACCAAGTCAAGCAGAGAATTTTAATGAGACACTCCTAGAATAGATTACAAAGTTCTCAGAGACGGGACATGGTGGTCGTGGGAGATTTCAATTACCCAGATATCTGTTGGAAGTCCAACTCTGCTAAGAATGAAAGGTCCAATAAATTCCTGACTTGTCTTGCTGACAACTTCATTTTCCAGAAAGTGGAGAGGGAAGCAAGGGGATCTGCTATCTTGGACTTGATACTTACCAACAGGGAAGAACCGGTTGACGAGGTGAAAGAAGTGGGCACCCTGGGTAATAGTGGCCATGTAATTTTCAATCCCCTTCCCCGTCCTCCTGGAGAAATGGCCCATCAAATGACCACAGCTGGAGGACCTGTGGGGAGGGGTCCCCCATCTCCTGTTTTCTTAACACCCACAAAAGTCTATCTCATCAGTTTCAAAAGCAACGTAAAGACAGGACTGACCTTTGGAAGCTAAGATTATACATTTTATGCTTATCGGTTTAGCTTAGTGTTTTTAAACATTTTTAAACGAATCGACTATAAATTCAGTGGGTCAGCCATGTTTGCTGCTGCGAAAAACATCTGCTTCAAAAGATCTGCCCACCTTGAAGGTGTCACCCAACTCCTTTGTGGAGAGACAGGAGGAAACACCTTCTGAGCTGAAGAAAGCATTGTGTCTAGTGCCAGGGGTGGATGTCAAACAGTGCAGGCCAGGATCACGGCTTTAGGCCAGTCAGCAAAATGTAGAGTCTCCCCACCCCAAAGATTTCATACTACTATTTGTATTTTTCTTGGAACCCTTTTAAAGCCAAAGAGATCTGGGAAGGCTCCAGAGGGCCTCATGGCATCACTCCTTTTGCAGGGCACAGGGCAACCAAAGGGGGGCATGAGAGCCCCGGTTGTCTCCACACAGTGATGGGGCTGAGAGGGGCTCCCACTCCAGACGGCAGGCAACAGAGCTGCAGGCGGGCTCTTCGGGAATGGGAAGTGGTGACTGAGAAGGTAGGGCTTGGGGGAAAGATTTGGCAGCAAAGCTGGGATTCAGTCAAAAGAGCAAAACAATATATGGTTCCGTCAACATGCAAGCACAGTTTTGGTTACTGGTATATTCACAGCATTTGCTTCTATTTTTCAAATTAGAAACAACAAGGGGCGGGAGCCGCGATACGCACGGGGGGGGGACCTCCACACTTATGAGGCAGAGGAGGAAGCAGGAGGAGGAGGGAAGTGCCGCCCCACCCCGCCGGGTGCCGATTTTTGAGCGGCTTGCTACTCGGGCCTCGCTGCTCTCCCCCCCCCCGAAGCAGCGGCGGTGGTGAGGGAGTTCACAGAGCGTTCCCTGCGCATGCACAGGGGACGCTCTGTCACTTTTGGGGGGATTTAAGTATCCCCCCGATATTTTTTCTAGGTTTTTAGATTTTTGTGCACACCTGGGGACTGCCTCAAGTGTGCACGAAAATCTCCCTCCCCCCCAGGTGCCCCTGATGCACGGATTTAGATATTAGATATATAGATGGCAACATTTTCTCCTGTAACATCTTAACTACTATTGACATCTGTCAACAGTCAGTATGAAGCATTTCCCATAAGTGCAGGAGAGAGGTCTGAAGCACACCAAGCAGCGCCCTACACCAGGGCAAAGTGGACACGAGTCTAGTTAAGGCGAAAGTACCTTTTCAAAGGGTTGACGCTGCATGCAATTATAGTGCTGCCATGTGCAGGTACTTCAGGGTGACAAAGAGCATGGGACAGCATCATTATCTGCACTGTGTCTGCAGCAACCATTCTGCCTAGTCAACCCCCCCCCCCATATTAACAAATTGTACCCTTACTTTGTTTGCTGTTATTCTCAGAGAGGAATCGGGAGATGCGATCAGATGGAATTGCAAAGGAAATTCCTGCAGTCACCTTTAAAGTATTGATGCCAATCACTTCCCCATCCTGTTGAAAGAGACATACATTTTGTTTGTTAGTTTAAAAGTGTTTAGCATTGTCCCTGTAGCTTTTAGCCTCGACAACAGCGGCCTGGCCTTTGCTTACCATTCCTCGGCTGTGTTGTGGGGCCAGTGGGGCATACGAGGGGCTCCGGACAGCAGGCCTGTGACCATTCACTGCTCAGGAAAGGGCAATTGGGCTGCAGCTGATGGGAAGCCCCCCTGGGCACCACGGGCCACTGAGACAGAATGAGGACAGAACTGCCTTCCCAGGCCCGGCAAAGGACCCATCTTTCTAGCTTCTCATCTTATCTCCTGCAGCGGCCAGCAGAGATGTGGAGCAGGACTCCCATATTCCCATGGGAAAGCTTCCATTTCTAAAGGCCCATTCTTTCCTCTAGGTAATGACAATGGACAGAAGCCTGCATAATTTCAAAGTCATACTTAATATCCCTCAAGTGATTTGACTGAAGAATCATGCAATAGAGTACATGTACTTTTTTATTGACCTGTAAATGGTGGGGAATAAAGCCACAAATTCACATATCAACAGTCAAATCATGGCAAGCAAAGCTAAAGTGCCTATTTCGATGTCTCCTCTCTCAGAATGAGAAGAGCGACTGCAGTCGCCGGGACAAGGCGTGCCTCAGAGATCTCCACGGAGGAGGAGGAGGAGTTTGTTTACTTTATTTATCGTCCATCTTTCTCATCGAGACTCAGGGCAGATTACAAAGCGTTAAGGGAAACTATTCAATCAAACGGCACGATAGGACCAGCATTACAGAGGAAGAAAACAATGCAAACGGAAAGCTCCCTGAGGCCTGACATACCGTAAAGCAGAACTGCATAAAATGAACACTGCAACAGGCTATGATCCTCTGCCTTATAAAGTGAGCTTCTACATTATCCTGCAGTTCTAATCCCTTTATGAAAATGCCCTCCTGAACATTCCTTTTTTGCGCGTTCTGTGAAAGGATAAAGGTGTGGGGTCCCTCCCTGACCTCCTCCGGCCGGCCATTCCACACGGCGGGAGCCACCACTGAGCACCTGCTCAAAAGGCCAGTTACCGACCTTACCCACCCTCAGAAGGCTGTACAGAGATGAGCAAAGCTGTCACAGCGGAGCACGGCAGGAGAGGCGGTCCTGCAGGCTCGTGGGTCCACGGCCCCTAAGGGCACTGTGGACGAGGACCAGGGCAACTGATCGGTGACCAGAGCAGTGACTGCAGAAGGGGTGTGACATTCATGCGCTGAGCTGCCGCCTTCTGTACCAACTGGAGTTTCTAAACTGACCTTAAGGGAAGATCCATCGTGTAAAAGTTTTTTATTTTTTTTTAAATCTTTATTAAATTGCAGGACAAAAGGGAAAAAAATACAAAAACCGAGAGAGAGATGGAAATCCATTTTAAACAAGTTCATGTACAATTTAAAGAAAGCATAGGCCAAATATGAGCATACAAACCCAAAATACACAATCACAGACTAAACTATTGTGTGCTGTAGAACAATTTTTTTTTACAAAGTCCAAGTTAGAAATAATTACTCTACCTTAGGCTTTAAAAATTCACAAATCATCAAATCTATTAGGCAACAAAGAATTATTTTTGAAAAATTTCAAGACCGGTTCCCATCTTTCCTCATAGTCTATATCCAACTCACTATAATTATATATATAAAAAAGGATTATTCATTGTCTTTCCCATTATATACAAATCCCAAAGCTTATCCATCATGTAAAGTTAAATTCTACTGAAATGTACAAAGGAACAACCTGGCCTGCAGCGGATCATCCACAGTTCATTTGGTGGACTAAAAATAGGGTGTCCGCAGTTTTCAGTACCTCCGGGGTTTTCCTTAAATTTAAATAATGTAAGGGAAGTGCTTTCTACATTGTCTTTAAATTTGCATATTATTCCAATGAAAATGATTTCCAATAAAGGTTTGAATTTATTTAAATATCAATCACACTCAACCCCCCCCACCCAATCAAATGCTTCCATTCAACAATTTGAAGCAATTATGACATAAAAATAACAAGAGGTGCATACTAAGTAAGCTCTGGCATCCATGTCCTTATTAACCTTATTAATTAATCCTTAGGTTTGCTGTTAGCCTTTCTGCGCCTTATCACTTGTACCTTTGCCCTCGCATGCCATGTTACATTCCTGGGGATGTGTGTGTGTTGTTGGAGCGTTAGGGAGTATTGCTTGTAACATCTTTAAGCGCGCCCTGAGAAAGTTTCTCATGAGACTGTCCTTGAAGACTTCCATGCCAGGCTTAGTTAGATAGAGCGGCCATATAGATATAGCGGTCTGACTTGCTATAGAAAAGCATGACGTGTAAATGAATGGAATTTTGGGGGTTTACCTTTCCCCACTTTTGGACCTCAGTCCTAACAGAGGTTCATAAAACATAACACTGCCAAAAGTGTGTGTGGAGAGTGACTGGACTGGGGACCTGACAATATAAGTCAAAATAAACATGATAAATCTGGTCACATTCTGTTTAGGGCACTGGAATACTTTCTGGGAACCCCCCCCCCCTCACTAGTGCCAGTCAGAGCTTCCAAGGTGCCTCCTCTGGCCCAGCCTCCTGTACCCACCCTCCCCGGTGCTCATGGCTGGACACGGAGAACTAGGGTCTAAAGCACCACTTGATCTGCTGGGCGCAGCCAGCGCCACCATGCAGGCAGGGCCCTCTTGGGCTGCAGACCTCTTGAGCAGGCTCCTTGCCCGGCAGCTCCCCCTGCTACATCTGTTTATCTGTGTAAGCCTTATAATTCTCTTGCTCCTGAGGCGCTCTGTCTCTCAAATTGTTGCTGTTAGCCTTTCAGTCGTGTCCGACTCCTGGTGATTCTATGGGCCAGCCTCTCTCCATGTTTTCCGCTCTTGTACTGTTTCTTTGAGTCCTTCCATGCTCAGGCTGGTGTCGACTTTTATGGTCTCTAGCCACCAAGTTCTTTGGCAGCCCGGTTTCCTTTGCTGCTAACCAATACAAGCAAAATTGTTTTTTCTAGTGAGTTCTTCCGCATGTCATGGCCAAAATAAGTCAGTTGCAGTTTTATGATTTTTCCTTCCAATGACATGTCTGGTTTCATGCGCTCCAATACTTGTTTGTCACCTTTGCTGTCCAAGGAATGTGCAGAAGCCTTCTCCAGCACCACAGCTCAAATGAGTCGATTTTCCTCCTGTCTTGCTTTTTCATGGTCCAACTTTCGCAGCCATAGGTTGCTACAGAGAACACAATAGCACAGACTAATCTGCACTTGGTTGTTAGGCTGATGTCCTTGCTGTTCTATATTCGTTTCATGCTCATCACAGCATGATTCAACATTTTATTTCTGGACTGCATTCGCCATTTTGGTGGCCGCATTCTTTAGCTCATCTCTTTACTTTGATCGACAAGTATGGTGTTCTACCGGATTCCTGGTTAAACTCTATAATAGTCAACATAAGAACATAAGAACATAAGAGACGCCAATGTTGGATCAGGCCAAAGGCCCATCCAGTCCAACACTCTGTGTCACACAGTGGCCAGAAATACCAGTGCCATCAGGAGGTCCAGCAGTGGGGCCAGGACATTAGAAGCCCTCCCACTGTTGACCCCCCCAAGCACCAAGAGGGAGTAGGGCTACCAGCTCCCCACCCCCCACCCCCAAAGTGCCCAGATCGAGCTGACGTGCCCGGCACAATGACGTCACCCAGAGGTGACATCATTGCACTGGGCATGTCGCCGGTGGACACTCTAGCATTCCGTTTGAAAACTCTATGGTATCATAGAGTTTTCAAGCAGAATGTTAGCGCATCCACCAGCGATGTGCCTAGTGTGATGACGTCAGTTCCAGGCAACGTCATTGCGGCGCATGCGTGAATGTCCCGGACCAGGACCTACTCCCCCCCCACTGCAACCGGTAAGCGACCTGGCAACCCTAACAGGGAAGTGGTCATCTGCCTTCTACCCCATTAGGGTTGCCAGGTACTCCCTGGCCACTGGCAGGGGGTGGAGGACATAGGGCTGCCAGATCCAGGTTGGAAAACTCCTGGAGATTTCAGGGTGGAGCATGGGAAGGAAAGGAACCTCAGTCGGGTCCAAGGCCATAGAGTCCACCCTCTAAAGCATCCCTTCTCTTCAGGGGAGCTGATCTCTGTAGTCTGGAGATGTAAGTCTGAGAGAACTCCAGGTTCCACCTGGAAATTGGCAACCCTATTTAAGTCTACTTAGCAGGGAGCGTGTGAGGCAAAGCACCTTAATTTCACCAAGGGTAAACACGAATAATAGGTCTGCTTCAGCTTGCAGGTGTTTGTAATTGGGCTTTCTCTTAGACACTATCTGTATGTCTTTCAAGGCCGGATTTCAGAAGGCGGTAATTGGCTAAAGGTAAAAACCTGCGCTCAGTTCAGTAACTAGATGGGGGGGGGAACCAAGAGCAAGTTTGCACAATCTTCTGTTGGGCTCCAGCAAATGAGCGCCCTTGACTGGATTCCGAAGACTGCCTGATGCCAGAGGGCAAGAAACTATAATTGGGCCTCAGATAAGAAGGACGCCATGCTACCTTTCGATCCCAAGGGACGGACGCGTAAGCTTCTAGCCCGGACTCTGCAATTTTGAACGGTGCACCGGTTCGTGCCAGGCACTAAAGTGTTAGAAAGAACAGTTCGCCTCTGCTGTTTTTTCGCCAATTAATTCTAGAGACCGTGTTGCCTAGCAGTATTCCTAATTTTATTGCCCAATAAACCTTTTAAAAGGTTTTTGGTTTTCTTGTGTGCACCGCTAGGTGGTTTGTGAGGCCGTGGCCCAGAGGCACTCAGCAGGTTCCCTGGCAGAAAGACTGCATGACACTTAGAACAGGATGGAAGAAAAGTATGCGGGCCTCACCTGCCATTCCTGGGTAAGAGTGTGAGAAAACACTGAGCCAGACCCTTCATCCACCTCCCATTCCCTCCCGTGACTGACAGCGCCTCTCCGGCATGTTAAGCGGAGACTCCCTCCCCCTTTAACCGGGGGAGGG